AAAGACTTCTGAGTTCTGGTGCATTTGTGCGTGCGGGGGTCATTATGTTACCGCCATGCGGTATCTAGTTATTAAGTTTATTTGATAGGGACAGACACACAGCATGAACTAATTTGCAGCACTTGACCCTAGATGGACTTTTATAAACATATCTAAAATGTGCCCAAAATGTATAATAAAAGTAAGTAATATTAAGTAATATTAGTAATATAAACAGTCAWACACATAAATCAAAGACACAACAGCATACAATAAAACATTATAAACATGATTCAAAGGCTGTACCCTTCAGGGACAGCCTCCTTCTTCAGCTTGACGGCCTCTGTCACCACTGGTGTACCCCATCACAACAAGCACCAACGAGCTTCTGACCAAGGTGCATCTGCAATAGAAGCCCTGAACATGGACTCCATGTCCCCGGCATCCCTCAGGATGTGCAGGAAAGTAAGCTCATGAGGTGTGAGTTGAACATCTTGTGAATAGGAGGCTCTACCAGACAGTTCACCTTCTATATTCACGTAGGCTGGCCAGGTCTGTCCAGCTCCTGGACTCCTGCCTTTAGAAGTGATCTGGGCACCTCCCACTGGTAGGAGGCCCCAGGAAGACCCAGGACTCACCCAGGAAGAGATTATGTATCCTCTCTGAGAACATCTAGGCCTGGCTCCAAGGGGCTGCCAAGGTTTCAACCTCCCAAGTGAGGTATACAAATAAGATTTGTCTTCATCAAGTTCTTCAAATTCATCTAAACRTTCTTTGGCAGCAGGATGTCCTTAGATGTTGAAGGCTATCATGGTTGATACCTCTCTATTTCCTTGGTTTGAAACTAATTTGTACATCTCTTGCTTAAAAAAAAATCAAGCTGCATTAAAAACCCAACAAAGGGTTAATCACTTACTAAGTTTTGCCATCTGACTGGAGAGACTGTCGGCTTTCGACAGGCTGAAGGAGCTGTCGCTTCTAACGGACGGGACTCCTGATTGGCTGACGGATAAATCAAAGTCTGCCAGGTTGACATAAGTGTGTTCCTGAAAGAAAACATACAGGTGTCTGAGAGTTAGGTGAATATTTTGACCTTTCAAGTTAGCCTTACAAGATCCTGTTAACTATTTAGGATTATTCTAGTCAATATTTCCTTAACCCTTACGCTCARCCTTTTCTTTAATTATTGCTTTTGTTTCAGACTGTTGGCTGTCATGTAAAAATAAGGAGTTCTTTACCTTTTGTTCCGTGCTTTGACCATTTGTTAACCGCTTCTCAAACCTGTCAGCAACAGAACAATCAATAGAAGAAAACAAGTTGTTCTAAAATAAAATTAATACTCTGAAATATTAATAAATGAGTGATAATAATAATAATAATAATAATAATAATAATAATAATAATAATAATAATAATAATAATAATAATAATAATAATAATAATAATAATAATAATAATAATAATAACTATGGTAACGGGTGAAGGCGGTGTTCATTTCATCATTAGTTGCCAGTAGCTCCTCAATCAGCTTCTCCTCACTGAGCCTGGGGATGATCTTCACTATCCTGCCTTGCATCTCCTTACAAACTGTGTATAACTGCTAATGACATAATGAGACAAAGAATGTGTGGGTGGGGGARGGGTTTGGAGGGCCGGATGCCACACAAAAATGTATAAAGTACGAGATCAGTTAAGGGTAACGATGAGTTATGCAACATGAAAGAGCGGAAGTCATTTTCCAGCAACAGTAAGAGGTAATGCCCTCGCAGACGAATTCAAGTTAAACACCCAGAAGGAAGGACTTTATGTTGTTTGGACCACATGCAGGACATTGGGAGAGGTGTAAATGATTCGATTTGCAGGGAGCTGACATGTTTAAAATGAGCACCAGAGGACACAAGTGGTGAAATCAGGACTGAAGCAGTTGTGTTATCAGGGAGTTGCTGGACACATTAAACAGTATTTGACAGTGTTTACAAGAACATTGTGGGGTTGAGGTAAGTTGGTCATATTGTGCAACCACTGTCATATGGGGCAGTGTTACCCAAGCTTTTTGCATCACGGACCAGTTTTACTGAGTACAACCTTCCATGGACCAGTAGGGAAAAATAACTTTGCTCATAGTTTTTCTAGCACCAGAACAATAACTGCAACTGAGTCAATATCCTGAAGACCAATATCTTCACTTTTTTAAAAAAATGTAGACAGATTTTTTGAGGAAAACATTTCATAATTTCTCAGCGGTCCAGTACTAAATGACCTATAGACTAAAACTGGCCATTGGTTCAATGGCTGGGGATAGGTGCATAACTATGTTCCCCAATACCCATGTTCCTGTGTACCTGTGTTCCCTGATATCTATGCTCCCCAGTACCTAAGTTTCAGGTATCTATGTTCCTCTGTACCTATCTTCCCTGGTACCTATGATCCTTGGTACATATGCTCCCCAGTACCCATGTTCTCTGGTACCTATGCTTCCCAGTAGCCATGCTTCCAAAACAGAAAACACCAATGAAGGATCATGATACTGTGCACCAAACACTGCAGAATGCCATGAGATCTGGAACAGGTACTGAACACAACTGACATCCAGAAGACAAGTTTACTGTTGGATGCTAATGTTGCATGAACAGCAGGACAAGTAAGGCTGCTTGTAAAGTGGCATCATAACAAAGACTTGTGGACAGATAACAAGTGAAGCATCCTCTTGGCTCCACAGATGACCACTGTATACACAAATGGCAGCGCAGAGGGAAATGGACCAATCCAACTAATGTTAAGAGACACACTAATGTTACTCATAGCATGGACTGGTTGAAGACACAAAACTGTCCAGAGACCACAACAGCTCAGTGCTACACTGCAACATCCTACGTCTGAATGTGTTGCCTAGACACCTTGGTACAGTCTTTGAATTCTACCTGGGTGGACACATCCTATGGTTCATTGTTTATGGTGAGTGGGGATGGATAAAGAACCCAGGTGAACAGGGGCCAAGTGGGCCTATTGCTCTCCCCAAAAAGACACTGAGATTTAACCAAACCTTTGCATTCCTCAGATGAAGTACACAAGGGTGAGACATATTCTACTAATGGGACCATGTTAGCAAAGATTATTACGCAAAGCGTAAGCAGGAGTCATATTGTTTTCGTACTGTTTGTTTGTTTATTCATTCATTCATTCAGTGATTTTTGGTCAACCGTAGCACATAAATGGCTGCACCGGTCAACATGAAATTTGGCAGGGCTGTAGATGAATCTGACCTACACTGCGCCAGCCAACGGTTTTACGATAGACTCCATATTTGAGGAGGGGGCTCCTCTCAAAGTGGGGGTGTCTGGACATGTAAAAATGCTTATAACTCAGAAACTGTTCAACATGAGAGCTTAAGATTTTCTTGGTTGTTTAGCTCTGATGAAGCTCTGTCCATCAGGCCCACCAATCAATGCCCCCCGACCCCCAATTTATCTGAAAAAGTAGTATCTGGACATACATAAATGGTCATAGCTCCAAAAATATTAAACATAGAACCTTCAGATTTCTTTTGTTGTTTAGCTTTGATGAGGGGCTACCCATCAGGTCAACCCCCCCCCCCCCCCCCACCAACCAAACAAAAAAAAAACCTCCACCCAAACCACTACAATTTTGGGATGCATCTAGTAGTATGACATTTATTAGTAATAAAAACTTCTGAGTTCTGGTGCATTTGTGCGTGCGGGGGTCATTATGTTACCACTATGCGGTGTCTAGTTAACTTTGTTTTTCATTTGACCATTACACCACAGTCACAACCATTCAGCATGTCCAGTTTCATTTTAATTCTGCTCCTCTGTCTGGGTACTTAACCTTTCATATCAGGGAGTATGTTTGCATAATAAAGTGTATWTTTTAGATAAATGTTTACCTCCAGCAGCTCCACGTCTGCTTGTTTTACTGTCACTGGGTCCAAATGGCTCATCATCTCTGACATTGTGGTCAGGTTGCTTCGCACCACGCCCAGCTCAGTTTTTAGCCTTTTCACCTGGAACATTAGGATTATTTAACTACAATACCTCARTGGTAAAGGGCAAACATTGATGAGGTTTAGAGGTCAAAGTGAGCTGAGAGAGACATAAACACAAAAGTAAGTTCGTTAACAGACAACAAAGAAGAGAAAGTGGTGTTTCTGGCTCTGTCACCTGGCTGGGAGTGAAGGCATTATTTCCTTCCAGYGCCAGTTTTAGCTCAGAGATTTGAGATGGGATGAGAGGAGGTTTAGAAGACAAGCGCACAGCAGGTAAAGTAGTGACAGCAGGCCCATTCCCAGCTGAAGTCTGACAGGCAGAGGCACACAAAGGACAAGAAATGACCAGAGATAAGAAGAAGCAGGCAGCCATTAGCAGCAGAACAATATGAAGCCAACCCCGCCCGCACCTTTTTTGGGCCTTGAGCATGTGAATAACTGTCGACTTGAGCCACAGGAAACTCCAGCCCTTTTCTTCGCAGGTCTTCATACACGGAGACCACGCCTGTCAGGTCGGGCGAGCTGCGGAATGCATCGGCCCACGCCTTGTTGAGTAACAAACCACAAATTACTGACAGGCAGCGAAACAAAGAGGTCAGGATCCAACTAACTTTTATGGTATTCTTCTAGACTGTGGCCACGCCCCACCTGTATGATGCCCAGGACTCTGTCGTGCACCACCTGTGGAGGGTTGTTCCTCGGGATGATCGCTCGCACCAGAACCCCTTCGATGAAATCCCGTGTTGTCACTAGGATGTGAAACCGGTAGCCGCAGTTTTTCACACAGATTTCTAGAATCTGAGGTGAGCAGAAGAAAAACAAACAAACATAAATAAAAGACATAAAATCATTGAAGGAATACTAATATTAATTGGGTTTTGCTCACAGTAGACACAACCTCAGGTAAAACAGTGAAAATTGTCATCATCTGTTGGTGATTGGAGAAAGTGTCATGAATGACTCTCAGCTACTACCCCACTAAACTTGGGCTCAATTTCTGTTAAATTAACTGAACTATAGCCCTTTTTGTGTTTTCTAAAGTCATTTATCTGTGGCGGCCATGTTGAACTGGGATGACTTCAAAAGTTAATCAGTTGTAAATGTACATTCAGTAATTAGGACCTGAGYGTTTTATTAAGATCTCTCCAGTGCTTCATGAGATATTTTGCTAACAGWCAAGAGTTGACAACAGTTAACGTCAAAGTATATAATATATACTTTGATTTATATATYATATAAATCACATGCATACTGTGCAGTAACTAACATGTGTGAGGTGGATGGTGCTCAGCTACTACTATAACAACTTTTAGCTCAGCAGCTGAAAAACTGACTGAATGAAGCTAAACGWCTGTTCACAGAGCCGGAAAAGGGTAGGCTGCCTTCTCCGGGTCGGGGAGGAAGTCCTGCCCCAAGTGGAGGAGTTTAAGTATCTCGGGGTCTTGTTCACKAATGAGGGAAGAATGGAGCGKGAGATYGACAGGCGGATTGGTGCTGCGTCTGCAGTGATGTGGGCGTTGTACCGGTCTGTCGTGGTGAAGCGGGAGCTGAGCCAGAAGGCAAAGCTCTCGCTTCACCGGTCGGTCTACGTTCCTACCCTCATCTATGGTCACGAGCTTTGGGTAGTGACCGAAAGAACGAGATTGTGGCCGAAATGAGTTTCCTCCACAGGGTGTCTGGGCTCTCCCTTAGAGATAGGGTGAGAAGCTCGGTCATCCAGGAGG